GTAAAATATTTAGCAGAATATGAAATCATGTATAATCCCTAAGAAATTACATATTTGTCATATATACTTCTACCTCCATGGTTTAATCTGCCTTCAATAATGTTTCCTTAAGTTAAGAGTCCCATTATAGCCTAACAACAGAGTGGTCTGAGTCATTGTTAACAGTACAGTGGAAATCACTATATTACACTGCCTTTAGGGAAGAAACAGTTCAATTTAACTGTGCAATAAAGATTACCTTTGCATCAAGGACTACCTTCCAAATAATTGAGAGAAGTAGCAAACTTCTGGAAGACAGAAAATTTTAAGATGCTACACCCAACCCAGCCAAACTTCAGAATGAAGTTATCTGTAAATGTTCCAGAATGTGACACCATTCAAAATAAAATAAAAAATTTTTAAAAAATTCTCAGCTTGCTGACTGATTACCTTTCCGCCAAAACAGATATTATTCCATTGCATTCTCCCGAAAGTCCTTAAAAAAAAGATAGCAAATACTGTCCTGAATTTGGTGAAAAATTTGCCTAAGTACAGTGAAAGAGGAAAAAAATGCCAATGCCCCTGTATCCTGAAGACAGTCTGACCTACTAGATGGGAAATAATGTGAGACCAATGACCAGTTCCCAAAATGTTGACACATTACTAGATGACATTAAAGAAAACGAGAAGAGCACACATGAGAACATTTTGAACTGCAAAAGCAGCAATTCATTAATCAGAGTTTGGGGATAATTGATGTCATTGCACAAGGCTGAAACATTGCACATGAATCTGACTAACCATGTTCAGGAAATACAGGAATAAGACTTCAGAAGAAGGACCATGGCAACAGAGAGCTTATAAAAGGAGCCTAAAGAAAGCCAGTTTGTGTAGTTCAGTAAACAAAGGTGGAGAAGGGACTGTTGCCTATAAATAAGTCAGGGCAGTAAACATCAGCAAGGAGTGCTAAGTCGGATAAAAAGCAGTTCTGACCAGAATAAATGGATGAGAACTGACTGTGAATAAATTCAGACCAGAAATCAGAAGAGGTTATGCAACCATCAGGTTGTCCAGAGGGAAGCCCACCTACTTTAAGATGGAGATTTGTAAATTGATGACATTGAGTGGGCTTGTAACAGCAGAGGACTGAATCAGTGACCCAGAAGGACTTTTGGGTTTTAATTTGTATATTCCTAGTGGCTGACTACTTGGTCCTCCTTCTTCCAGCTCAAGAAGTGATCTTCCTCGCTTATCTCCAAGATTGCTGAAGCAATGAAAACCTCCCACTTCCTCTCCAAGGGCCAAGCAAATACTTTTAGAGAAGGAATTGTATTTACAACATGCAGCTTCTCATACCTTTCCACTTTCTCAGCAGGGCTGCAAAGAGGCCAGTTGGGTCATCATGTGCTATGAAATATTGTTCATTCTCATCACATGATAGGCAGTAGCAGAGGAGGGTCACAGAAGATGTGACAAATGCTATTGTGTTCTACCCTCTGCAGCACTAGAGTTGAGGAGTGATTAGGCACATTAGATGGTGAATTCCAGCTGCAAACTGCATCAGTTTAGACTTAAGAAAGGAGAAGAGATGGTTAACATCAAGGGATTACTTCTAGTCTCTGTGGATCCACATTTCTGAATGAGAGCTTGCATTGCATCTTGTAAGCAGGTAGTAATGTTCTCTCTCTGCACTTTGGGTGGACCAAGGACCAGCAAATGCAGACAATAAAATACCAGCAAGCACTGCTAAGAAGCTGCAGCCAGCCAGCACTACTAACTTAGCATTGTACTGGGCTAATGTGATCCCACTGGGCCTGAACAGCTTCTGGTACATTTATCAGCACAACCAAGTTGTCTTTGGTTTCTGTTTCATCTCAGTATTGTCCTACGGTGTTAGCCCTGACAAGACAACTTAAACAACCATATTCTCTCCTTGGCCTTCACTTCGGACAGTTTGGCAGCAATCTCCTGGTAAGGAGGGAGGGGAAACTGAAGACAGCAAGCTGTTTGCAAGAGCCCCCTGGGCTGTTAACACTCACATCCTCCAGCATAAAGCACTATAACCCTTCACAATGTGAAGAGCAAAGCTTGCTGCTTTTTGCTGCACCTTCAGAATGCCATTGACAACAGCACTACAGTAGTAGCATATATTGAACATAGCCAGTAGTAGTTATTAGTATTGCCTTCATTAAACTCTTTCCATTGCTATACCACATGACATACTCATCTGTTGCTGTCACAAAAGAGATATCAAGAAGGAGCAATGGGTTTTCCTTCTGTAATCTGAAAGAACTCTCTTCCATGGATATAGCATACTCCTGAATGTCTTACCCTCATGTACCATGCCATAAACCTAATACAAGAAAGAGTCCACGAACTGGTAGAATAATATTAAAGTGGCATGCACTACATTACCATTAACAACCTTGTATCAGATTATTAAATGGAAGGAGCATATTAACTAATGCATTAATATCTTCCTAACAGATGGTTCAAAGATACTTTGTTTGGAGAACCAATGTAGCTTTTTCAAAAGATGGAGGTTAATAAATACTGTCTTATCATATAGGCCTTAAACAGGAATTTAAAGTCAAAATATTGTGTCACTCAAAGACTGGCGGTGAGGAGAAACAAAGCTTATTTCAAGAGGCACCTTACAGTGATTCACAGTAATTTTCCAGTAACTACATTAGATTTTACATTTTTCTATTGTGTGCTCATACCTGGAACCATTTTTCCTCTTAAGAACTCACACTGAGGCTGTGTACCTATCAAGTATAGAAAACATTCTGCAAATATTAAGACAAACCATAAATCTTGGAAGAAGCATATTTTGCGTGTAGTATTTCCTACGTAGCTGTAAAGTTACTTTCTCAATATCTAAAAAGGAAAAAAAAAGTTTGTATTAGAAGCCTATCTTCCATGTAACATACCTCAAACTAGGAACACAGGAACTATCATTTAGCCTTGGCAGAATATGTGCACATGTGTATTTATAAATGTACTTCTTCCACCTGCTTCTTTAATAGTTACAAAAAACATACAGAGTCATTCTCTTAGAAATGCTTACCAACAACAAAACTTAGTTAGTTTTGTCCTAACTGTTGGGTATAATAGTGATACAACACTTAGCACTTGCACAGCATACTCCATCTCAAGATCTTCTAAATACGAAGTGGTTCTCCAAGATTAGATGAGCCCAATGGATGCCCTTTGAAGTATCAGAGTTATAATAGGTTATTCTGTTTCTTCAACTGAAGTGACTCTCACGTGGCAAACAGAGGCTGGGAAGGCGAGGCAGGGAAGGCAGTGCTCTTACTGCATCCAGGAGGACATCTACTGGTTGCCTTGGTTGGCCACGGTTACTCCAAAAAGGGACCTGGTGTTTCCTGCATACCAAAGCTACCACAGCAGAAACCTACACCACTGAGATGCCTTCTGGCATCACAGGATCTCGGCACAGAGCTGAGATTGAAGCTTTAGACATGAGTTTATTTCCTCTTCACTGAAGACAAGACTGAAGCTTCTTTGAATCATGCTTTATATCCAAATTTACATTCTCGAATAGCTGGCTTGTGGCTGCCACCCCACCTCCAGCCTGGTGATTCTGCAGGTTCTGTGAACCTCTGTACCCAACAAGAGAATATCAGCCTACATTAACTTTCATCCATATCCTGAAATCCATCAAGTGCATTTCAGTGATCTATGAGAAGTTTCCTGAACTTCTCTGCACCCTCTAGGGTCCAGAAGAGCTCTGCAGTAGACCTATTCTTGGGTTTTGATCTCAAGAGGAATTCAGCAACAAACAGTCTACAGATGAGCTCACTTTACCTTAACCCTACCATCCCCATAAGCATGAAAATTTCAAGGCAAAAAGCAATATAAGCAGTCACCCTCCATTCAACAGATTTTTTTTTCCCCTCTAAGGATTCATGACTGCATTCTGATCCCACTGGATTTCAGACTAAGCCAACAAAAACAGCATTCACAGACACTATTCCCTCATCACCTAGGTATGGCAAAATCTCTTTTGTGTCTGCTGTGTTCTTATCTATTCTTACCTACTACTAACTCATAGCACAAAGCAAATTCTGTGTTCCTCTCTCATCCTCTGAGAAATGCCAGCTACTTCTGGGCAGTGGGTATGCCCCGATGGGCAGAGCTACCCATGAACCCCATCACAGAACTGCCAGCAGGAAAATCTGGCTTCTCGTACCCCACAGGTTGCTCTCATTCTTTGAGCAAATCTCTCTGCTGTCAAAATACAAAGATACAAGAAAGAGTCTTTTACATCGTCCCTTCTGCTAGTCACAGCCCAGTGCAAAGTCCTGGGATTAACAGCAATAAAAAAATACGCAAATCTTTACATATTCCAGGTATCAACTACACAGCTATGTAGCCAGGAGTGTCCTAAGGAACACTTTCCTACTGCCAATTCAGGTTATAGCCACATGCACTATGACAGAACTGCTGTCACCAATGCTTATTTACCTAAAAGTGTACTGACCACTGACCAGGCTTGAGCACCCCACCGTGGATGCGCTCTGGAGACCAGAAATTGCAGTTTACAAGCACAACACTGAGGTTTCCAGGCTGGTTAAAATTATAGCTGGGGTCAAGCTAGGTTTAACTACACGGTATACTAAGAAATAACACCTCAATAAACATCTTCCTCTTGCAGGCAGAAATAAACTTCAACCAGCAACTGCTGCTCTCCTCTCCCCACCACAAACACACTAGGAACGTAACCCACATGCACATCTGCTTCCAGGGGAGCAGGTAAAGCAAACGTTGTCTTACAGATGGAGATGACAGCGATTCTCTTACTGAGCAACAGCTCCCTAAGGCATACGAAGGTACAGCTCAACAGGAAGGCCTGAGGTTGCCCTGCGGTGTCACTGAGCAGCAGGGGTTGATCAGGTCACTCCAGAGACATAGCCCCCCTTCCTTCGGAGGGGGGCAGAACCAAAGCCCCACTCAACCCCCCCTTCTCAATAGAAAGCAAGAAGAACTCCTCCTACCTGAACTCGGGGATGACGTTTGGCCGCCCATAGAAAGCCGCCGAGAGAGTCACCAGCCAGCCGGGTTTGTAATTCCCATTCTCACACTCCAGGTATGGTGAGGACCACCTGATGTGGTTCTTATCAGCAGCGAAGCTCTCCCGCCTCTTCCAGCTGTTCTCCAAAGTTTTGGGGCCCGTGTTTAAGACCTTCCTGTGTAGATGTGGCCTCCACTTGCGCTTCAAGCTGTGGAACCACTCTGTTTCCACAGAGGCATTGGCCAGTCGGTGAGCTGAGGAGGATAAGTCCTGCAGGAGAACATGGCTCTCGTTCCTGCTGGCCTGGAGGAAAACCTGGGGAGTGGAGGAGAAAGGCTCCGTGCTAAAAGTGATAGCTGCCCTGGAGATGTTGGGGTCCTCCTCCAGCAGGCTCCTGATCAAGGCGCGGTACCACTCCAGGTCCTCCTGCAAGTTCTGCTCCCGCGACTTATTGCTCTGGAGGATCACGTTGAGTAAGTTGGTGGCGTGGGTGAGGGTGCCCAGGGCCCCATGCAGGGAGGGGTGCGAGGTGAAGCGCGACTTGCCGGCGAGGCTGGCCAGCTCGTACCGCCCGGAGCAGTTGGCTCGCCGCAACTCCCGGGAGTCGCCCGTGTAGAGGAACGAGGCCACGTCCTGGGGCACCTCCTCGGCGAGCCGCTGCGCCAAGATGGTGCTCTCCGTAGAGCGGCTCCGCGGGGCCGGCGGAGGCTCCCGGCTCTTGATGTGGTTGTAAATAGACTGCGTCCCTCCGAGCGCCCGCTCCCGGCCGCGCACCGCCTGCCCTTGGCCGGCGGCA